GAGTCCTGGAAACTCCTTTCAACTCGAATACAGGCAAAACTAGATGATGAAGAGGTCGCCAGGTTCGCCAACGCCTTACGAGTATACGCGACTAAGGATAGGGTGAACGAATATAATCACTACCACCTCGACCGCCTCGGCCGGCCAGTCATCCAGGTCAAAGCTAAGAATGTTGGCCCCAGCGCGGCTGCTGCTCCTGACGACAAGGCGGGCAACCTTGCGAAGCAGATCCCCATATGCATTGGCGCCTGTCTGATGCTGACGTCCAACCTTTGGCAGCCAGTTGGCCTCTGCAACGGCGCCCGTGGTACCGTTTACGACATCGGCTGGGCACCTGGAACTGACCCCGTCCAAGACCCTCCTTGTGTTATCATGATGGAGTTTGACAAGTACAGTGGACCGGTGTTCTTGACCACCGCTGATGGCCGGAAGATTGTCCCGATACTCCCAGTACAGAGGGACTTCCTCATCGGAGCCACTCGTTGCACTCGCACCCAGTTTCCCCTGATTATATGTTACGCTATTACCGTTCACAAGTCGCAAAGCATTACTGAAGACGTGATCGTTACGGACCTCTCCTGCCGGGACTTTCAGACTGGTCTCAGCTACGTAGCTGTCTCTCGTGTGAAAACGCTCCAGGGCCTGATGTTGGATGCGCCATTTGATCGTAGTCGCCTGTTTTATGAGTCTCCCCCGGATGGTATGAAGATGAAGATGAGGGATCAGCGTCATAGGAGACAACAGGTTCTTACACGGAATCCCTACAAGATAGACTAGAGTTCTGCATAAAAAAGTACATCACTGCTCAAGGCTCAACTAGATTACCAATGCAGTGGTTGTAATAATTGCTTGGCCCATGGACTCTCAGCCTTCGGATGATTCTACCCCTTGCACCCACAGCTCTAACGTGCAAGGGGTGGCGTAGTATTTTAATTTGGTTAGTCTTGCTTATGCAGTAAGTATGAGACTTGTTAAACTTTTTTCGGTCAATATTAATACCTCCTGATGAGTGAAAATCAAGGCAGATTGCGATGCTTCTTCATTCACAGCTACTGTAGCGGGAAGGGGAAGGTTTTCTACGTTGCGTTGAACGTGACATCCTCGTCCTAATAGCCTAGTATGCTAATATTACGTCACGTAATTCCCCAACGAGTGGGCACGATAACGAGTGAAACGCCCTCAATCACTTTCGCGCACAGGTTAAACAAAAAACAACCACAACGCAAAAAATAGAGTTGATCTTCATTGCGGTCCTCTAAATTAGACATTTCTACAGTTATCTAACAAGTGCGCGAATTATAACCAGTCTTGCCGCATCTACCACATCTACCACATCGCCGTCCCTTCGTCTCATCCCTCGGCTTTCAACCTGAAGTTCTACCAACATGTTACTATATCTGCTATTCAATATCCTTTTAATCTTAAAGAGCCTGTCTATTACTGATAGTCATTCTACCGCCTTCCCCAATCGTGTTTTCCTTGCTCTACGCCTCTTGCTAAGTGCAGCATTCGCCTCTCACTGTTATTCATTCTCTGCCTTTTACAACGATATCTAATGCATTATTCCTCTCCCCCCTCCTTTCGTAAATTAATCCATAGCGGTCAAATAAGAGTTTGGTGAGCTTCCCTAATGCCAGCTGATTCGTCCCTTAATATAATTTATCTGAAAAGTTGCCTTGGTGGGATTGTTAGGGTCTTTAGAACCCAAAAATCAAGTAGCTCAAGTACCACTTCAGCTAGCGACAACGAGCGTACCCTCACGTCTAGCCGTGCTAGGAAAGGTTATAGGATGAATGGGCCGGCTGGAAGAGAGAGTGCGATAAATTTAGGCTCCTTGTAAAAGAGCTCATATTCTGTAGAGTGGTGGTTTTTATGCCCTTCTATGATTAGAAGACAATATGCACCACGAGATTGCGGCTTAGTATGCTTCTTGAAATTCTGGATCATTCTACGCCTTTCTGGTTTATGGCCTAGCTATTATGAGTTATTGCGATAACCCAGCCGGGTGGTAGAGGACGTCAAGAAGCGCTTCTGTGGTGCCCATTCTTGGACAGAGACCGATTCCTGCGGGAAACGATACACATGTCGGATGATGCCTCTGTAGACTGAAGTCGCAGAGCCACGTCCCTGCCTCATAGGGCTTGTATTTCTGCTCTTGGGGCTCAGAGACATCGATCGTGGTTCGGCGGGGAAAGAAAGTAGTATTGTGCCCAAGCCGCTTTACGGCTGTGGCTGTATAATTTCTTTAGTTCCATTATTTTGAAGGGGGGCCGTGCCGAACGAGCGGGGCAGGGGGAATTGAGCTGACCAACAGCTAGGCTGCAACGGCTCAGTTCAAAATCTGTGATGAGACCCAGAGTGACAAAAGAATGGAGTGGTCACTATTTATGGACCTGACAAGGCAGTTTTTTATGGACCTTTCTTGCAAGAACTTGCTCCTCCACAGTGTTGATGGACATTGTCTTTGTCCCGAGAATGCCGCATGTCGGCCGGAAATAGTTCGGCATTCACTCCACCTATAAGCTTTCGGCATGTCATGGCTCCAGTGTAAAGTTCGCCAAAAAAGACAAAAATCCCCCCACCAAAGTGTTACGCTGTTTGTGTCTTGTACAGTGGGAGTGATCCGGGCCAACTATGGACAGATCTTTTTGCGTATCCACTTTGTTAGATTTCACGAGCCTCATTTAATTTCCTACCCTGGTCATGGTCCGTTATTGAGGCCAAAAAATGATGGTTGTACAGTAAGTATTCGTTGATGTAACTATCTACTGTGTGTTCTTCAGGCGGAGAGACTTTCTGTCACAGCCACACGACACTATTATTATGGATACTAGGATAATGACAGGGGTTGAAGTCTGTACTCCGTACATCAAATGGATTGGATGAGAGAACATAATAACACACAAATACGGTACACACACACCCAATATCAACACAAAATTATCGCTCTAAGGAACGTGACATAACTATAGCCAACCCTGCATTTTAATGTTAGGTTGACGTCGATGAGTGAATTATTGAAATCTAGTCAATTCTCGAGGCCGAGGTCTGGTTATACCGATAACGCTGGTGTATCTAACATTTAGCGCCGTTTTAAGTGGACACTCTCCCGCCAATCTACCACACTTGACACTAGCGGGCCTTGCGCCGGGGAGTACGCCAATGTCCCGCGGTCGTGCCGTGGCCGCATAACCGAAAAATACTAGCACAAAACCTGCAAGTCGCTTGGTTGCTGAATCTAACAGTGTGATTAGTCACTTGTGTCCCATGAGCGTGACCTACCTGATCGCGCAGTTGAGACGGGCAATGAATCTCCCTGCTGCACATCGGTTTTCGAGCCCACAACATCAGCAGCTCTCAAGCTCGCGATGCAAGGATGCAGACTTTGCTCGACGCAGCGCGCTCGAAGCTATCACCACGTCTTGCTAGGCCACTACATCGGACTTTCAGAAGTAGGGACATGCACATGGACGCGCGAAAGGATACAGGAGGCGCTCTAAGGTCGAGCCAATCATACAACGCACCGTGGCGTCGCACCTCAACTGTCAAACTAGGAATCTCCCATCATGCCACCCGCTTTGTGGGTGTTCGAACGAATATCCCCTTCCCCATTTCACTATTGTGTTGCAGTTAGCGACTCAACCAACGCCACAGCGCCTTTAGGAAATAACCGATTCAAACAATGGCTGGTCCAATATATGTTATGTACAAACTCCTCGCCAACGTCTTCGCTGGATGCCAGAAAATCGCTCATTTCTTCTACCGAGGATCCCCCAGGGGAAAATTGGTGTTTTTTGACTGTTTGTTTTATCTGTTAGAAATGTTCAGTCGGGGTATTGTTGGTAGGGCAGAAGCAGTCCTTCACCAAAGCCACGTGTAAGTATGAATGTCTCCAGATATGTTTGTTGTCTAGAGGGACAGTTATTGCTGAAGGCGCAGCTGGTTCATTGAATTGGCCCACTTTCTCCGCCTTTCAGATCAATTTAGGTTGCACATGAGTTTATGTGAGCTAAACTTCAGTCAACCTCAACTGCAAGAGCCAAAACCGGCCAGATTAGATAAACCTATAGTTGAAAGAGCTGTTAGCACGTCTTACAGCACTTGCCACCAGTGTCAAAGGTTGAATTGGGATCACTGTCGGATTAAGCTGCGTCTGTTGACTCAATCACGCAAGCGCTCTTGCTATGTACTTACTGGAATGGCAAGACAACGCTTGTTGCATCACAGCTGCCTTGACGCAGCCGGCTGTTTTGGGGCTGTGTTGTGGGTCCCGCAACTCTTCGAAACTCGACTGGCTGAGGCGCTCCTTCAATCATGTGTTAAGATTGCAGTTGAGAACGAATTATTGGCTGGAATATGGCGTATGCATCGCCTAGACCCCCGGGGAGGCGATGCCACCATGTAAAAGTTTGGTCACAGTTCAGCGTGGCGTTTTCTTTCCAACGTTGTCATCGTTTGCCTCACAGACTCCATAGCAAATATCGGTGCATGCGCTCGGTCGTAGATATTCGGGTAAAGCGGGCAAAGAGGGTAGAGCGGGTGAGCGGCCCGCTGTGAATATTTCGTTGTAACTTCCATAATAAGCAAGGCTGGACGCTAAGTCTCCTGTTGGCCGTATCGTATTACTGAGCATCTCGTTTCGACCGACCCTGCTCCAACATTGCAAACGAGCCAGTTGCGACATACTTACCAGATCGTCCATGATCCAACTAGTAGCGATTTAGCGTTGTCTAGTGTCACCTGGCGTGATAGAACGATGCAGTCCATCCTGGCCGGATCGCTTCTGCATTTATTACCACTCCTGGGCTCAAGGAGCCTAGTGGCACGACAAAGATTCCTTCCTCGGTGCTCGGCGATCGGCGCCCAGCGCACCGTGTTATACTTGCGACAAGTGATGAGCCTGGATGCTACCAGACACCCCTCAGCGATGGAGTCAGGACTACGCACAAATGCTCGGAATCACACTGACTTCCTCATTTACTTATGACGGTGCTTCCACCGTCTCCAAGCCTATCTAGAGGGGTCTCGTCACCAGAATGACAACGATTTCGCGGTGGATTGCTTGCGGTCTCTTATCAAAGGAAGATCCTCGAGAAGTCACGTCTCGGATTCAGATGATTTGTTTCCTAGTCGACCTGGCGCATACCATTGTTGACTTCTAGTACCATTCGGGTCTCCCACCTTGGCAGGCTACTCTATGCATCACACAGCAGTGCGGTCAAGCTAGGCACGCGCCGCTTCGTCCCGGTAGATCAAGTCATCCGTTTCTTCCACGCATGTCCTCCTCCACACTCCACGGTGAACTCCATATTCCGGCATTCGCCCGGCTACCTCCACAATCATAAGGCGACACTTCCCAGATTGGCAGCGCAACAGGCGCAACGCACGGCAATTCCTTCTGCATTGGAGCCAACAACAACCGTGTCGGGCCATACTCTTAGCTGACAATGCAACTGCCGACGAAAAAAAAGAAAGGAAAAGGTTTTACCAGATGCTATGCGCGAACAGCGGGCTGGTCTATAATGCGGCTACAGCCGTAGCTGTTGACTCGGGATGTTGTGACTTGACGCCCTCGTCCTAAGGTACGCTTCGCAATTACATGGTAGGACTACTTTATCCAGGGTCCAATTGACATCACACAGATAGATACAAGGCGTCAAGGCTAAGGACTCGGCAATAGGGCCGTCATGGGATTCTTTGTATCCACGAGTGACAGGCAACGCAGCCCTTGACACCGTGGGGGGTGTCCACGACCATCACAACGCAGGGGGGTCTGA